GCACCACAATGGTCGTTTAGCCTATTTTTTTTTTGCTTTTTTCACTCGTAATTCGGTTCCCCGGGAACCGAATTCTGAGTGGTCATAATATACTTTTTTTTTGGCGTTTGTGGGGAAACCTATTTTGAAAGTGGAACGGCCCGTTCTGAAAGCAGAACGGGCCATTCTCCTTAAAGCCACAGAGTCAGTTTTTTGCAATTGAAACGGGGCAAGAACGGACCGTTCCAGAATTAACAATTAACGAAAAAATAGACCCGTGAAACGGCCCATTCTGAATAAATTTTTTAGTTAATTTTTTTAACCTGGAACGGGCCGTTTTTGTTTTAGAACAGCCAGTTCCAAAATTGAAATTTACACATTTTTTTTAATGTGGAACGGCCTTGGAACGGGCCGTTCCAGGATCTATTTTAACGAAAGAAACGTGGTTTGGAACGGGCCGTTCTGGTTTTGGAACGGCCCGTTCTGGGGCAACAGTAAACACGCAGGTTTTTCTATAAATAGGCCCTCTCCCGTTCATTTTTTTCATGCGATTTCAGCTAAGTTTGTCTCCTTTATTCGTTCCCTGTACTGCTTCTGATTCACCTTGATAGTAAGAAATTATTTTTTTGGTTCAATTTTCATTAACGAAATAGCAAAAATGTTGTTGTGGAAGCAAAATGAGCATAGGTCTGCCTTCATTGGTAGAACAGTAAGTTTAGCAGTTTCGTTATTTACTTTAAATTTCAATGAACTTGTAAGACCCTGCCACCGCCAGGTCACACCCCCAACAGTGCTGACAAATCCAAGCACATTCAGTACCACAGGAATCACGGTCACACCACTGAGGAGTGCCGCACGCTCCGAGACCGTATCGAAGAACTCATCCAGGCAGGCCACCTCGGACAATATGTCCAGCGACAGCAGAGTCACCGAGGAGGCTACGGCGGAAGAGGATGAGGTAGAGGTCGTGGTTCAGGAGCTCGTCCAGACCAGCCCTCTGACTCTCAACAAAATGCCGGTGGAGCAGTGCAAGCCGAGGTAAGCCAGGAAACAGGATCAGCGACCACCCGCACTGTAACACATCTAGTCCGAATACCCGAGTCCGCCGACCACACGTGAACGGATAAAACTCATCGGTGTGGTCGGCCAAGCCCAGCACTTCTGTCAGGCTAATTATGGAGAGATTAATTAACATAACGCATCGGATTAGCTCCCTAATTTTCCGGGGCCCAATCCTTAATCACGGCCCAATACGAGTACCTATAAATAGAGTTCTAACGAGGTATGTAACTAATTCTGAACTACCTCATTTATTACGCCGAGAACTAACTTGAGCGTCGGAGTGTCTTTGCAGGCACACCCCACCTCGCTTCGGATTACCCGGACAAGAACAAGAAGACCGAGACCCGACCCGTGACAAGATAATTAAAGTGTGTATCCTAACACAGGAACATTTGGCGCCCACCGTGGGGCCGAAGAGATACTTTAGCCCCATTTCAACTCTACCAACTGAGAGCGAGACATGGTAGTGACCCGCAAAGGACAATCAACAACGACCCAACCGATTCCCAACGTTAACGCCGAAGACAATCCCGTCATGACCAACCAAGAGCGCTACCCGTACGGAATGCCTCAAACTCAACTAGAACCCGTGATTCAACAGGTCCAGCCGAACACTGACCGAACTCAACCCAATTTGCATGATGACCTCCGTGCGTTGAGGGAGGAAATGGAGACCATCCGAAGGCAAAGAGAAGCCGACGCCCGAGAGCTAGCCGAGTTACGTCGACAAAATGCTGAGCTTCAGAATCTGAACCAAACTTTCGTGCCGTCCACCCCCACAGCAGCGGAAGAGTCTGCCTATCACGCCCCAACCGACCAGGTCACTCGAACTCCGGTCACCTCGTTGATAGCCAACAAGGCCGACACCACCGTCCACTCCTTAAGACACCCTTTCTCACGGAGGATAATGGAAGCGACTCTTTTGGATCATTGGAAGAATCTCCCAATTGAGAAGTACGACGGGACCACTGATCCCGACGAACACCTGAACGTTTTCTTGACGCAGGCGACCCTCTCCACGCAAGACGACTCGGCTTTGTGTCGAATATTCCCCACATCACTGAAGGGAAGGGCCCTGAGTTGGTTCACCAAGTTGCCGAGTTCTTCCATCGACTCGTTTTGCGAGTTGTCATCCCAGTTCACTTTGCAATTCGCGACGAGCAAGCCGTATAGGACGACCTCGTTGGCTCTAGCGGGGGTTCGTCAGGAGAAAAAAGAAAGTTTAAGATGCTTTATGGACCGATTCAACAAGATTTCCATGGAGATAGGCGATCTTAACCCGGCCGTCGCCCTAGACAGGTTGAGCACTGCCCTGAAACCGGGGACTTTTGTAAATAGCCTCTGTAAAAAACCACCACACAATATACGATTTCAACACAATATACGATTTCAACACAAATACAATGTAGTATCCGATACTAACACCAAGTAATTAACTTTAATATTACATAACTAAATAAACATATTACAACTGATTACAACAATAATGATCATTGATGGCAGGAACTACATCCATGACTAATATTCGGACATGTCTTCCTAGTGTGACCAGGAGTGTGACAATAAGAACAATTTTTTACATGAGTATGTTGTTCTAATATCCATCTCTGTTCTAATCCTGGTGGACTTTGGTCGACCCTTGGAAGTTCTCTTCAGTTCTAGAATTGGCCACAAAGTTGGACCAGTGCAAGTAGGCCAATAATCTTCATGTCGAAGCTCTCCAAACTGTCCTTCGTATACCTTTGCAACTTGTTGTAAGGTATATATGGGAGATATGTACCTTTCATAGTCATGATGTGCATGTAAGCATGAAGCAAGTACATGTGAGCAAGGGATGTGAACTTTCTGGAACTTGCCACAATCACACCACAATTCATCAAGCCTTACTGCAAATCTCCCAGCTGGTCGAACTTCTTTGGAATGTTGCGTTTCTTCCACTAAAAATCTACTGCTTGATCTGTCAAAGCTGATAACTCTATGAGTATTTGCCTTAGACTGTGCATCTTGAAAAGTTTTATTAGCAATTTTCGAGTAGACATGTCCAGCATTAATCATTGCATCCACTTCCCTACCTCTTTCAACGAAAAACTTGTTGCAACGAGTGTATGTGGCCATTAACATGGAACAAATTGGCGGATTTCGTGTTTTGTTCAATACTGAATTAATTGACTCAGCTAGGTTTGTTGTCATGTGTCCCCAACGTCGTCCATTGTCCCATGCTAGTGTCCATTTTTTCCTAGGAATGTTGTCTAATCATTGAGCTGCTTCAACATTATTATCTCTTACTATGTTGTAATAGTAAAAGAATCTAGGTTCAGTCATCCCGTAAGCTGCAAAAAAAAATGTTAAATAACGAAAAGTAATAATCAAATGCTTTTAAAAAAGTAATCAAAAGGTGTAGCTTGCTCAAATGGCTGAGAAGGTATTTGATTAAGGTCCATGATTGGACCAGTTAAAAGCTGTGTGTATGACTCGATGTCGTAGTTGGAGGGGATATCATAAGAAGGGCCATATGGGTTAGTGTTCTGGTAACTTTGATAAATTTCATAAGGTGAACGTGAAGGTGAAACTTGTGGTGCATGTGATTCAACTGTAGTAAGTGTAGCATATAATTCAATACCTGATTGAAGTTGATTAGTATCATGAACATTGAAAAGTTCCTCAACATCTTCATCATCCGTCAACTCAACACATGTATAGTTACTAACCCCTGGGCCAAGTCTAATAGGGTATCGAAAATGTATGGTAGCGATCCTCTCAGAATCTTGTCGATGTAGCTTTGTGTGGATGACTCTTTGAAGCCTTTCTAGAGTAATTCCTCTCTTGATACGAACTAATTTTGCAGATGGAGAGGAGAAGGTGATTCCTTCATTCGGACATTGGTTAAGGGAACCAACAGAATGAACAAAAACGTAGATTGAAAAAGCCATTTTATGAAAGGTTTAAAGGAAATGAACGTGATTCTAAGAAACTGATTCAAAAGGGGTAAATGGAAGGAATAAAGGAGAGAAGGTTGGCTGAAATCGTGTGGAAAAAATGAAGGGGAGAGGGCCTATTTATAAAAAAACCAGCATTTTTACTGTTTACCCAGAACGGGCCGTTCCAAAACCAGAACGGCCCGTTCCAAATCACGTTATAATGAGTAAAATCGTCTTCTGGAACGGGCCGTTCCAAGGCCGTTCCAGATTCAAAAAATTGTTTAAATTTATACTTTGGAACGACCCGTTCTAAAACAAGAATGGGTTGTTCTTGGCCCAAGAACGGCCCGTTCTTGCCCCGTTTCAATTGTAACAAGGCTTTAAGGAGAACGGCTCGTTCTACTTTCGGAACGGGCCGTTCCACTTTCAAAATTTGTCCCCGTTTCCCTAAAAACGCCAAAAAAAAAAAATTATAACCACTCAGAATTCAGTTCCCGGGAACCGAATTCTGAGCATGCACAGTAAAAGAGTCTAGTTCAGTAAATAAAGATGCACAGGTGTTAAATGTGTAATTTTTTTTTAAAAAAATATTATTCTGGTAAAAATTTCACACAGCTTCCCAATTTTATTCTTTCTATAATATTCTATCATTAACTACGAAATATTATATGTAGCAATAGAAAAACAAGGAAATATTATACCACTAAAAGCATAGAATTGTTATAATTGTAAATTTTAGTACCTTTTTTTATATAAAAAAAAATTAACATTCACAACTGTAAATAGATGAAAATCAAGTTAAATCGAAATAAATAATTAGAATAATTATCCATAAAGATTGTTTGCCTAATCATGAAATTGTGATTAAAAATAAGACTTGACTCTTATAAAAATCAAGGTGGTGAAAAAAAGTTAATTATATTTTGTTAATAAAAAAATATTTGGATAAATATTTTTGGACATGGAAGCAAAGTAGATTAAGAAAGGTGGAAATGACATTATTGAAGGAAAAGGAGGAAAAAGAAAAAGGCAAAGACAGTAAGATTTGCACACGTAGATGGAGGTGGTGGATTGGCGATAAAAGGCAATGGATGTGATGAGAATTGTAGAGAAATAGCAATACTGCAATAGCAATAGAAAGAGCAGAAATGTTTTCCCCACGAGACATGCCTTCCCCGTCCTCAATCTTCTCGGCCTACGCCTCGATGACGGCGTCCATCATGCTCCTCCGTTCCATGGCGAACGAGCTGATCCCGCAGCCCCTCCGCGGCTACCTCTTGAACGCCATCCAGTACCTGATAAAGCCCCGCTCCTCCACGCTGACCCTGGTCATCGAGGAGTCGACGGGCATCAGCCGCAACCAGGTGTACGACGCCGCCGAGGCCTACCTCTCCACCCGCGTCAGCCCCGACAACAACCGCCTCAAGATCACCAAGACCCCCAAGGAGAAGAAGCTCACCCTCCGCCTGGAGAAGGGCGAGAAGGTCCTGGACATGTTCAACGGCGTCCCCTTCAAGTGGCGCTTCATCTGCGCGGAGTCCGACAAAAGCGCCAGCAACAGCCCTAACGAGCACAACAGCATCTCCGTGAGGTCTGAAAAACGGTCCTTCGAGCTGCGGTTCCCGAAGAAGCACAAGGAGATGGCGCTCCAGGTCTACCTCCCCTTCATCCTGGACAGGGCCAAGGAGATGAAGGACGATGAGCGCCTCCTCAAGATGCACACGCTCAACACCTCCTATTGCTACAGCGGGGTCAAGTGGGACTCCATAAACTTGGAGCATCCCTCCACTTTTGAGACCCTGGCCATGGAGCCTCAGCTGAAGGATGCGGTCATGCAGGACCTTGATAGGTTCGTGAAGCGGAGGGAGTTTTACAAGAGGGTTGGCAGGGCCTGGAAGCGTGGATACTTGCTTTATGGCCCTCCCGGCACTGGCAAGTCTAGCTTGATCGCTGCCATGGCTAATTACTTGAAGTTTGACATCTTTGACCTCCAGCTTGCCAACATAGTCAGGGACTCTGACCTCAGGAAACTGCTTCTCGCCACTGCCAATAGGTCCATTTTGGTCATTGAAGACATTGATTGCACTGTCGATCTGCCAGACCGTCACCATGCTGAGGGACGTAAACCAACTGACGTCCAGGTACTCCTTTCGCTAATTTCATCTTTCACTTTCACACACTTAATCAACACAATCACTAAATATGTCTATAAGTTTAGTTTAAAATATCATAAATACGTTATCTATATATACTATATTGCCTATTATAAATTATCTGTTTCTCTATTTAAAAATAAAATGCAACTAAAAATAACTATCATTTAGCTAGAGAAAAAGACTGTTTCATAAATGATTGTTGGGTCCTCAGACAGGGCCTTGGTATCAAGTTAGACATGGATCAAAACTCTCGTGTTCTCGAGGGCTTCTTCTTTCTTTCTCTTTTTTGCTAAATCTGCGAGATTTTGGCCAAAAATTGTTGTTTGTCGGGAAATTGTTTATTGGTACGAATTCATGTCATACAATTATACAAATAAGCTAAATTAATTTTTTATTTAATATGGAGCCAATTATATTAAAACATCGGTGTCTAAAAAACTTTGTATCAAGAACTTTAGTACCATTTGTCATTGTTGTTTTTCGAATGCCAAGCAAGCCACGTGGGTTCCGATTGAACCATGCAAGTTGCAAAAGTTAATTCCTTCCGTACAGAGGGTTTTGGAACCCTTAAAAAAAAGCACTAATGATATATGACACCTATGTTAATTGTTCACGTCACGATTGTGTTTGAATTTTTTACCGGTCCCATTCTACTCACAATTGTTTTTTCATTTTTTTTTCATCTCGGTTTCTTTTTTTCTTTGTTTACACTGTTGATGCTTATTAAATTTTTTAGTTTCGGTGGTTGTTTGTTCAAATTTAAATGTGTTTTTTAATTTTTTTTCATCAGTTTTTCTTTGAGAAAGAACTTTTAGTTTATCAGATTGTTGAGAAAGAGCTTTTGGTTTATCAAAAACTGCAATTTCAAGGTGATTTGCATAGGAAAAATGGTGGAAGGGGATGTGATAGAAGATTGATGATAGTGGATTTCAAAATCAACTTTTTTTGAAAGGGCATGGAAGGAATTAGCTTTGCAAAATACCATGCGTCATTAGGGCCATTTTGTCATGGGTAGGGCACCTTTTTCTACCTTTTTTTTCTTGCTAGTGGGAACGTGCCATTTATAAAAGCACACCCTAAATTGGTAAGTGAGGACTTTGGGGCTACGTGGAGCTTAATAATTGGTTAACAAAATTCGGTTTTGGCGATAATTTAATTGTAGTAAAGTTAAAGTAAAACCGTCCAAAGCATTGGACACATCATCAAAGCGCGACTTCTGAAGATCCAAAAAGGCATTTCGCTATCAGTCCACGCAATTCGTTCAGGAACTTGATTGTTCTTTTCCTCTTGTTTGTTGTTTTCTGTTTGACAAATAGCGAGAAAAAGAGTACAACGTACCTGTGGTTCGAAGGTCGTTGTTAAATGTTACAAGATGGTGTTGTGGTGGATGCCTTATAAGGAATCATATTTTATTTATTGACGTGTAAAGCTTCTATTGTGGACTGGTGTTGCTATCATATTTTATTTTATTTTGGTAGAACACTAGAACATGTTGCCGGAACATTTAATATATATTGTTTATTTTCATGGGAAATTAACAGCACCCATGTATAAAAAGGAAGAACATGTTAGTGAGTAGTGAGGGAGTCCTTCAATTTTCTCTAGCTAACTAGTTTATTTTGGTAGAAGATGTACGTTGTCGAAATATACTATGTTATGAAAAATTAACAGGTTTTATAAATTTAGTTTGAATTGTATTTATATATTTTTGAAATCTAAATAGTGAAATTGGTGGTGGACTGAGTTGAAAAAATAATAATTAAATATTCTTAATCATGTTAATTATAGATAATGTTTCAATTTATTATTTTAGAAATATTTTTAAATTAAGAACATTAAATAAAGTTAATTTAGTTTAAATTTGCTAAAAAAACTTAAATATTTTTTCTTATATATAAGTCAAGAGGAAGTAAATGACTAGGATTGAGTCTATTTATCATTCAAAAGTTTGGATTACGTAAAAATTTATCTCGATTTACTAGGTATTTAAAAGTTTATTTTAAGATTTGCCTTCAAAATAAGAGTGAAAATAAATAAAATATATTTTATTAAAATTGAGTCTAAGTTGTTTAGTATAACCATATTTTTAACGTTTAATATGATGATATTTACAATGTTACTTAAAAATATATTTTACAATAAAATATTTAAATAACACATAAATATATTTTAGTAAAATACATTTATTTTTAATTTTTTTAAGTATTTTTTTAATTCTTTCAAAATAAAGAAAACATGCATTAAAAAAGAGAAGAGGCGAATTTTATTTCGGTGAAAAATTGTCATTACACATATATTACTCAGATTATTTTCTCATTAAGAAAATACTAGGTTATCGACCCCTAAGAATAAGATGGACAGGTTAAACAAAATATGTTAGTATACGGATTGACATTTTTTTGTTGACTATTTTTTTTTCTCATAATATATATAACTAATTTTAATTTTTATACATATAAAATAGTTATGTTAAAATTTTCGAATCCAACATTCATGACTTCATGAGTTGTTGGACCTTCGACCTACATCTAATAAATTTTATTTGTTAATTTATTTTTTAAGGAATATATAAACATAAATTGACAAAGTGAAATACTCTAATCAAACATCATTTGTTTTATCTTTATTTATATTACAACCTGCAGCACAAATTCATTTTAATTAATTAATAATATTCGAATATGACTTTTGAAATTTTTTATTAAAAAAATTAACATGAAATTATATATTTTTATATATACAATTGACTTTTAGCACATGAAATTTCATCTTTGGCAGTATCCATTCAAATAGCAACGAAAGAAAAATGGTCGTCCATTTATCATCACTCAAAATGATAAGTCTGCAAACAAACACAATAATTGAGAAGATGAGATGAACGAGTTATATTTAAGGCTTGGAATTAATTTTTGTGTGATTAAATAAAAATATAAAAAATATCTAAGTCAAATTTTGATAAATCTCTCTATAAACTAGATTTGAAGTTGTAGCTAGTATAAGAATTTTTAATCCATTATGTGTTACATAATAATATAAATAAAATTATTCACATATGTACAAATATTTTGCATATATTTGAAAATAATCGTTTTAAGTAAATTTTGACTATGATTTAATTGAATTCTTTACTTTGACTTAAATATGTATTTTTAATTTATTTCATATTTTCATAATTATTATGCTCAATTACCCTATAAAATAAATCATATTTTGTGATAAATTATATTTTATCTAAAAAAAATTCTTTTATTTGGATGTATTTGTTTGGATATAAATATATAAATACTATTAATGGAGGACCATTCAAGGAGAGCTCACACATAAAGATCATTAGATCTTTAACTATGTCTATGGTTAGGAGGCTATAGGAAGTTTCTATATAAAAGATACTTTTTAGACCTATGCTCCACATAAGTATTGAGTATGTTTCCTCTTATTAGTTTCTTAGTCTTCATTATAAACACATTATATAGTATTTGTACATAGTAGATATTTGTATATGTGCATTTTTGCCTTTGTATTTGTGAGATATTTTTTTCTTTCTTTTTAAGTCACACCCTTAGGATTCTAGGGTATGTTACTTGGAGCCTTTTTCTCCACTTGACCTTATATTAAGGATCATTGATTTTTATATATTCTTAGTTTTAGTAGTGGGGTGGCAAATAACAAATGTGTAGGTGAAACTAGCGATTAGGCCCTTAGTGGGCCTAAACTAATTTTTAGATATTAGGCTTGTTTTGCTCCATTTAATTCAAGGAATTGATTTAGCTAAGTCTCACCTTCATTTGGTGAACCTAACTAAACCAATTATGATATTTTGGATTAGATTAAGTGAAGGAAAACAAGCAAGGCCGCATAGCTTTCTTACTTGGCCGAATTTTGCAAAGCTTATCCAACACACTTGGTTCTTGTTAGTCAAGGAGACAAGGTGTCACTTGGCAACTCTTGATTGACTCTTCTAGATCTAGGTGTTTCCTCTAGAGACAAGATAACACTTGGCAAGCTAAGATTGGCCAATTTAGATATAAGTGCTCCTACCTTGTCTAACTTACTCTACAAGCTACTCCATCTCTATATATAGGTCTATTCACTTGTAAAAATCACTTTTGGATGTTATATTGAGATTGTCGAGTTTTTATACTCATAATTCTCTCTCCCTAAAAGTCCTAAAACTCTTTGATTTAGTTCTAATTATTTTATCCTCTTCAAAAAGAGTGTGGTGAGGATTGAAGTGATTCATCTTCCTCTAAGGAGTGACATCACTTGAATATTGTTCTTCACCTCCTAATTAAGATGAAATCTGAAGCTTCTACTTCCATTGCAGGCATTGGTGAAGCATGAGAAGTGTCAAGAAGACAAATGTTTAGAGAGAAACTTGAAGGAATGTCGAAGCCAATTCGAATTCTCTAGAAAGTTTCCATCATTTGGTTAATATTCATTTTTTTGTCTTTTATGAGAAACAAAAAGATGAAAAAAATCCTAAAACATAGTTATTACTACATTGTACTCATTTTGCTTGACTAGTTGTAAACACTATTTAGTACCTTATTTGTAGATTCTCTTATACCCTTTGTTGATTATAGTTGAATTTTTCTTTAGTCTGGATGATTCATAATTTTTACTCTTACATTGTGAAATTTTGACGTTAAAAATACATGTTTCTTGTGTATTTGGATTATTTATTTTTATTTTATTTTGTTAGTGCTCTTTACATATTTTTACATGTAAAAGGATTTAATTTCCACTGCATTAATATTACTCTTTGTCAAAAAAAAAATTGTTATTATTTTCGGTTTTCCCATCACGCACTGGACTATTGGAATTTGAAACCTAGAGGTTGGCATACACAATGCTTGGACAACATCATCTTTTAAATTACAAAAATGATCACTAAACCCCTCCAGTGCACCGATCATAACTATCTAGATAACATTCAGCAAGAGAGAAAGAGAAAAATCACTAGTACACAATACACATTTTACGTCGATTATTTTAGGGGTTTTTACGTCAGAAAAGCCTCCGACGTAGAAGCGGGAGACGTAAATTTACGTCGGGGCGCGAAAACCGACGTAAATTTACGGCCCGTTCTGCTTGATAGACCCAGGAGTGTATTCTGCAAACCCGGATTTGGTCACTTCCTTCTCCTTCTACAGCTTCAAAAACTCGAAATACAACACAAACATTATTACGAAAAAAAACATCCCAGAAAACACAAACTTGATGGAAGATGCTACCTCATAGAACCTCCTAGAAAAGCCCATGACCACGCGAAGAAGAAACAGAAGAAGGTGCAGATGAACGCCATGAAGGAGGAGGCGCGGGAGAAGGAAGAAAAATAGAAGAAGGAGGAGGAGGCACGGGAGAAGGAAAAACAATGAACATTTTGAAATTTAGCTAGTGCGCGCTCACCTTTTAACAGGTTCTGGGGTTATTTACGTCGGACACAATGCTTAACCGACGTAGATGTTAAAATTTACGTCGGACCCAATTAGGACCGACGTAAATAATTCAACAAAATTAGACCGCATTTTTATAACGTTGAATTTACGTGTTTCCGACGTAAATTAGGTGACATAAAAGCCTATTTTTACACTAGTGAATATATATAATATGATAAAAATATTTATAAAATATTTAGTTTTAGCTGGTAGAGTGTATCCAGTGCACCAAACATTATCATGTAATTTACCATTCATGAGTAAGTGTGTAGGCACATACGAAGAAGTTTCCATGCATTTATCAGGTGGAAGAAGTAGACCTTACATGTCGGAGAAACTTCTAGGTAGATAATGTTTAAACTTCCAGGTATATCACGTAAACATGGCAAATGAACGGTGGCCTTGCAATATCGAAAGTTGATTTTAAAAAAAAGGAAAAATAGTAATTGATGAAATAATTGTTAGATTCTTCAACGAAAATTCTAACATGAAGTACCAAAGAATGTGGTACATAGATGAATTACTATTTTTAACCATTAAATTTAATATTATAATAATCAACGATTTATATTTATTATCTATAATTTAGAAAAAATAATATTTTTTTATCTTGCAGATTAGTTCCTGTGTTTTGTACTCCATGTAGGAACTCACCCATGAGCTGCCACCCACGATGGCGCCCGACACCATCGTCGCCACCGCATGTGACCGTGACCGTGACAGAACTCGCGACAGAGAAAGAGACAGAGAATGAAGACAAGACAAGGATGACCGTAATCGTGACTGCGATCGTGACCGTGATCGAGCGCGTAGCAAGAGAACCCGTTCGCGCTTGATCGTAGCCACTCCCGCCACACGCACTCTCTCTCGCCCACTGATCGCTCCCACCACCGCCGCCACCACCGGACTCCCTCCCTCGACCCACCGCAAAAGCGCCACCGAAAAGACTCCGCAGATGAGGAGCACAAGGAGACAAAGAAGGCGGTGTTGGACTTTGTGGACGACATCGTGAAGAAGCAGTAGCAGAAGCAAAAGGAGAACGAAGGCGCAGGAGAAGACGAGGGGAACAAGGACGAGGTGGAGATGACGAAGATGCTCGGGATTCCCACTGAATTTGACTCCACCAAGGGAAAACCAGTGGCCGATGCTAATTAACGACAGCGATGTCAGAGCTGTCACCAAGCGCCAACCGCCCTAGTACTTGAACCACCGCGGCAGATTTCACCGTGCATTACTTGCTGAGAGGAATCGCTAGGATTTTTTCAGTCGCCACCCACGGCGGCGCCCAACACCATCGTTGCCACCACCACTTCCACCACCCGGTTCCCCTCCCCGTATCACCTCCCTCATCCACTGCCACCTTCTGATCCTCCACCAACATAAAACTATTTAACATAAGAACTATTTTGCAATTATAAACAAGTTGAAAAGCATGCTATTGCAAGTTATTTTACTATGTTCAACTGCTTCATGTTAAAAGCGCTCTTTATATTAATCGACTCCTATGTATTAAAGGTAAAAGTATTTTTAAGTATTATTTTTTTAATAGAAGTGTTAAAAAAATTAAACATCTTATTTGATTGATTTTTTATTTACTATATTTATTTATAAATTAAATTCTAATATATTTAAAATAAATTAGCAATAATTAAAAATAATATTTATTCTGATAAATATAGAAAATATTATTAAAGAAAATAAATTTATTTATCTTAAATCTAAAATATAATTTTAAATATAATTATATAATTAGATGTACAATATATTTATATATAATTTATTATAAATTTTAATTAAATACAATAACTATTTGGCATAATCTTAAATCTAAAATATAATTTTAATATAATTATATAATTAAATATACTGTATATTTATATATAATTTATTAGAAATTTTAATTAAATACAATAAATTTTTGGCATGTGATGCACATATTAAAATATTAATTGTTATAAAAATTGGGGAGCACCTTATTGTGTAACAGTTCAAATTTTAAATATTTATTTAAATAAATAAAATAGATAGAATGATATAAATGCCAATATGTAGTAGTAGAAGAAGATTTGAGGGTTTTAAAATTAATTTTACAAATAAAAGAGAGACAAAAGGACGGCAAATTTTAGAGGGAAAAAAAAAGTTAACAAAGACTTAAATAAATATTTATTTAAATAAATAAAATAGATAGAATGATATACATGCCAATATGTAGTAGTAGAAGAAGATTTGAGGGTTTTAAAATTAATTTTACAAATAAAAGAGAGACAAAAGGACGGCAAGTTTTAGAGGAAAAAAAATTTAACAAAGACTTAAAGGGAAGTAATTATTTATTGACTTATTAATATGATGTGGAAACAATAATCCATTTAAAAATGGATTTTTCTTTTCATCCTTTTGAACATTTGAAAGGACACCAACTTTGAAAAACTAGGCAGAGCACTGCTTCATCAGCGAGCAATAGAGAAAGAAAGAAAGTGAAGAAAAAAACAAAAGTAATCCAACACTGTGAGATCACTTGATTTCAGAATATTTATTACTATAAAATTTTTCTAATAAATTGTACCTACACATATATGATTTATTTATATATTTTATAATAAGAAAACTTTAACGGTGTTATTAAATCGAAGGTGAGAAATATTTGATATTTCTCTTCTTTTATATTCATTATTGAGGGTCTATAAAAAGATTAAAAGTCAAATTTTTATAAAATTTTTTTTGCTTACATATAATTCTTTTCTTTTATTTAATATGTTTTAGTGACATGAGTGACTAATTCTTCAATTCTAGGATTATGTTATAATTATTTTCCGTAAAATTTTAATGATAAATTCATGAATTATTTTTCGTTAATTATCGTATTATTTTAATATATTATTTTTTATTTAAATTAATGATAATACTCTTTTAGTTAATATGAATTTAAAATAATTAAATTTTGAAAATTCACATAATCAAACTCTTAATTTTCAATTGAATGTGTGTTTAGATCGTATCGGAGCTGAAAAATAAAAAAATAAAAAAAAAACAAAAAATGAGTTTGACTCATGTTCACGGTGTATTGGTAATATGTCGGTGTTGTCGAACACCCTCAATGCCTCTGTTGCTAGCCCTATCGGTGCGTCCTGGACACCCTAAACCTTGCATCGTTTAGATTGCTGATTAGATTATTCTACTTTATCAAGTAATAAGTATAACAACTGGGTCGATTCAAACATTTTTCAATCAAATTGTCTCAGTTCCATTGACAGACAACATTTCATTAATTTAATTTAAAAATCTCACATTCATTATATCATTCTATTTGTCATACAACATTTTCTATTATTTTCTTGCCTCTGTTTTAAGTTGTAGGAACAAGAAGAAAAATTGTAGAAGAAATTGAATTTTGGTCTTCAATCTCCCAAGACATTAACTTGGCCAGCACTCAGGTGGCATTCTACTCGACTATCCTTGCCACGTTCTTTGAGAAATTCAACAAGCTTTTCTAAAGCAAGTTGAGGATCCTCATTTCTGATTAGCTGTTCTGCTACTACCGCTGGGGTGACATTTGTTTTCTCCAATAATTCTTCAATTTGTTCAAAGAGTGGATGATGTCCTTCAATGCCCAAATAATTAGAAGCCAAGACTCGAAAAGCTTTCCCTTTGAGAAAGGACAAGTGAATGTGCATGTCCATACGACCAGGTCGCAGCAGTGCAGGGTCTAATTTTTCTCTGTGGTTAGTAGTAAAGATTATGATCCTCTCCTCTCCACCGCTTGACCTCAAACCATCCATGTAGTTGAGCAAACTCGATAGACTAAACTTCTTAGTAACCTATGCATCAATGATCAATTGTAACAAATAACTCTCATTACTTAAATGCTTGTTGCCATATAATTAACCAGTAACACAAGTGTATATAATAGAAAAACAAAAACAAATTTACCTGATTCGGATCATTGCTGCCATCAAACTCCGAGTCTGAATCAGTAAAATTATCTTTGTAACTTGGTTTTGATCGCACTTGCACCTCTTGGTTGCAGTCTACGTCTTCAATGACAATGATGCAACGGTTAGATGTATCCCTCATGCATCGCATGAGATCCGAATCAGAATAAATAGAAGAGAATTCCAAGTCATACACATTGAATTTCAAGTAATTGGCAATAGCTACAATGAGGCTAGATTTTCCAGTTCCAGGGGGTCCATACAACAAGTAGCCACGCTTCCAAGGCTTGCCCACTTTCTTGTAAAGTTCCTTTCTCCTCAAGAATCGATCTAAATCATGGATGATAGCCTGCTTCAACTCAGAATTCAAGGCTAGTGTGTCAAATGTGGCAGGATGGGACAACTCAGTTTCATTCCAATAGTGATGTTCCCAAGAGAAGATTTTAAGAGCCCTTTTCTCAGCTTTAATTGCCTCGTATGTTTTCAGTATATGTGGTATATATCGATCCAATACTTTCTCTCTATTCCTCTCATTGAAGGACAATACAAAGGCATGCGTCCTGTTAGAGTCGTTTTCGGAGCCCTCATCCAGTTTCCAAGTGAAGGTGGTGCCTTCGAATTTGTCCACCACCTCTTCACTTGCATCCACTGCGAAATCAAGGTGTTTTCGGTTTTCTTGTTTGCCAACTTTGAGCGATTTGAAGGTGCGGGTGATCCTAGTGGGGAGGTACTCCTGAGCAGCATCGAAAAGTTCATTGCGGTTTCCCAAATTTCCATCCCAAAGTTGGTTAATTTTGAGAGATACTTGATTATTTGGTTGGGCATTGAAGAAGGCCTCTAGCTTTGAGGCAATGAAGGACCGAATTTGATCTGGTACGAGATCATTGATCGCTGTTCTGAAAAGCATCATGAATGTGGAGAATGCTGCGTATAACTCGAACCATGATGACGCTGATGTGAAAGAGGAAAACAGGTTCTTGGTGTTCAATCCCATTGGACTCAAACGTGAGAACATTGTGTGAAACCCGATACTCATTTATATTCATTTCAATTCTTAATGCTTAAGTTATCAATGTTTTCTTAAATGTTATTTTTTGAAGAAAAAAAATTACCGAAGTTATCGTACCTTTTTTAGAAGTTTTTTTTTTTAAGAGTTAAAATCTGTATAATAAATTAATATAATATTTCTATCTTTTCATTATTAATTATTAATCATTTGTTTTAAATATAACTTGGCTAGTCAAGCATGATACAGATTTGGATTCTCTCGTGTCATATTTTTGAATGATTTTAAAGATTATAAAAATTTTCTAAACCAAATTATTTTAATTTATATCTAAAATAAGGGGGGAAAAGGCCATGTAATATACGAGATTCTAGTTCGTTTTAATAAATTTTTGCTAATTTTAGATTAAATGTTACTTTTAAGATGATAAGTTTAATGATTATACACTTCATGTAAAAAAAATTATACTAACTAATTAAGTAAAAATCATCGTTAGTATAATTTTCAAAATGATTATTATAATAAAGTTAATAAGTATACTTTACAAGATAAGTTGTTACTGAAAGCATGACTGATTTTTCCTTTAGATGGATGATTGTATTTATTTTCTCTGAAGGTTTATTTTGCTTTTTTTGTTCAAAGTTTATTTAATATTTTGTAATGCTATATATGGTTAAGCATTGATTGCTGCATTAATATATATGGCTGTCATTTAATTTGCAGTCTTATTAGGGAAAATATGTTATTTATGATATTGGGCGTAAGTACTGAAATTATTATTTTTATGTCTAGGTGAGATTGGTAATTTTTAAATTAAAATAAATAATTTAAATTAAAAAATTATAAATAAAATTATGATATATATTTATTATTATAATTATTTTTATTATTATCATTGTTATTATCATCATCAAAATTATTATCAGTTAAATCTAATATGATATTTTCAAGAATATTAAAAGTTAGATTTTATGCAATAATATGTGATAAATTTTTTAACAAAATTTGAGTATAAGAACTAAATTTAATATATATTTTTTAAAATTATAAGAACTAATTTTTGTTTCATTTCTCAAATTTTAAACTATTTTTTTAGTCATGTAATTTTTAAAATTTTTAATTTAATTTATTAAATCACTAATAATATATAAAAGTGAGATATTGAAACAATTATGCATTAGATAGAGATATTAGTAAATAAGTTTTATACAACAATATTTAACAGATTATTCTTTAACAAAATTTAAGTATACAAATTTAAATAAAATTTTTTAAAATTACAAACATTAAAAAGATTTATTTTAAATTTGAGAAATTAAAAATAAATTTATTTTAAAATTAAAAGACTAAAAATATATTTAAATTAATTTTTTATTTAGATCTGTTTCCATTTAATTTGTTTGAAAGTGATTGTAGTAGTTGCGTGTTTCAATTTCCTTTTGACAAGGTATCTAGGGAAACACGGTTTTGCTATTATGATATGTAAGAAAATAATATTAACTATTATAACCAACTATGTAAGAAAAGTAATATTCTCAACTTTCATAAATGAGAGTGTTTAGTATATAGAAAAAGTTTTTATTTTACGAGAAATTTAAAGTTAAAAATAGTATTTTTCATATTCACTTTCTTATGAATTTACATAAGTTTTCCATAAATTTTTCTCATGTAGAAATAAAAATCTAACATTTTTGAACTGTAAAAAAGTTTTGTCGCAATAAGAATATCATATTAACTTAATTTACTTATTTAGTGCAATAAACACGTTTGATTTTCAAATAATATATATAAATATTAAAAAAAACTTTTATGATTAATCAAATAAATTTTAATTATTTTAAAAATTATAATTTTTAATATTTATGATTATCAAGTATCACGATTTTTAGTATGAAAAAAAAACATCCCTAAAAATTTTTGTTTACCCAGTGATGACAATATGGCAAACTTCGAAAAATTATGTCAAAATATGTTTTGATATCATATATATATATACATTGGAAGAATCTTTTTATTTTAGGAGTAAGTTTACCTAGACTTACTCCGTTCAATAATTTATATTTTACATCAAATTTCAATTATCTAACTGTTCAATTTAAAGTTCTTAATGCATATATCAAATCTGAAAATTTTTAGAAAATTTGAAAATCATTTGATACTTTGTTTCATTAACTCGAATCAATGTATAAAATGATTTTATGATTATCTGTCAATTTAAATTAATGAAATGAAGTATCAAATGATTTTCAAAATTTCTAAAAATTTGCAGATTTGATCTATGCATTAAGAACTTTAAATTAAACGGTTGAATAAACTTTAAATTAAATGGTTGAATCGTTGAATTTTGATGTAGAACATGAGTTATTGAACGGAGTAAGTTTAGGTAGACTTACTCGTGGAGTAAAAGGATCCCTCCTTTTATATATATATATATATATGACTAAATTACAATTTTATCCCTTTATAATATCTAATATATGATTTTAGTCTTCTAATATTATAAAAGCTGCAATTTTGGCTCCCTTATTTGTTGATCGTTAAAATTAAAGTGTTAGACTTAATCTAACATTAAATAGATGACATGATAATTAATATTTAATAATATTTAGATTAAATATAGTTTTTTATTTATATTATGATCTTATTTTCATGTCATTTTATCACTTTTATGAGATAAAAAAGTGAACTAAAAGTAAAATTTAGCTCAAATATTATTAAATATAAATTGTCATGTATTTTATTTAATGTTAGATCATAATCAACATTACAAATTGAATGATCAACATATGAGTATTTTGTTAGTCAAATAGCCTCGTATAACTTAAGAGGCGAGGGGGGCTGAATTAAGTTTTCCAAATTTTCTTCCTATAAAATTTTTCCGAATTATTTTCTTATAAATTCAATTCCTTAGATAAATTATGTGTAAAGATTAATGATGTATAACTACTCAAACATAATTAAATAACAAGTAATAGGGAAAGAAGAATTTCAAACTCGTTTTATATTAGTTCGACCAATCTTGCCTACATCCAGTCCTCAAGTCTCCAACTTGAGATTTTCACTATTATTGTAAACCTTACAAGACTTAAATCCTCCAACACCTTGGAACTCTCTTTCCTTGTGTTGAAATTCAAAAGCCAACAAGGAGAACAAATTTTCTCCTTTACAAATCAACTGATCAAGTGGGTATTACAGAATGACTCTCTTTGAAGAGTAGATATTACACTTTCTAAGATCTTGATGAACTCTTTAGAGATTTTTTTTTTTTTGCAAATAACTTTGGCCAAGTAGTTTTTGTAAATTGATTTTCATAATGGAGTTCGTAACCTTCTTCTGAAAAATTATAGGTATTTATAGACAATTATTTCTTAGGTTGTATCTTTTCATGAAGAGTTGTAACTCTTTATAATTTTTCAAAAAAGATACTCTGGTAATTGATTACAAGACTTAATAATCGATTACAACGGTTTTAAGTTCAAAAAATTTGAAATGTTATATCTTTTAAATTCAAATTTTTGAAGTTCTCTCTTCTGGTAATTGATTATTAGAGCAAGTTTTAACATTTGAACCTTGAACAAAGAAGTTTTCTTTCTCTGGTAATCGATTACCAGACAAATATTACTATAAATTAGCTTATGAAAACTTAAGATATAGAAAACTTCTATTTTTCAGTTTAAAATATTTTTTGTTTAATATTTTTGAATACTCTTTTTACTTTCTTTTCAAACAACTTATTCTTATATTCAAAAAGATTAAATTTAGGTTTTCTTAAAATCCTTAATTTAATGGCCAAGTGAACTTTTACAATTTCTAAAAGTTCATTTTATAGACTTATCTAGTTATTACTTGAGATCTTGCTTCTTGATCAACTTGCTTTAAATTGACCTTTATTTTCTTCAACGCTTTGACATCATCAAAACTTTATGCATATGTTCTTTCGCATATTCGACAAAAAGATTAAAATTGTAAATTTTATAAGATTGAAAAACTTAAATTATAAATTTAAAAATTGGTGGACCAAAATTGTGGATTGAAAATTATAGAAAATCAAAAATACAATAAGTCCATTTATATAAATCATTAAATTATATATTATATTTAAAATTATATATATCAAATTTTATATTTTAAAAATTATTGTATAATTTATTATTTTATTTATTTTAATGCATAATATAATATTTAAAATATATGTAAATATATACATTATTGGATATCTAAAAACGTTATAATCAAATGAAATTTGATATATGATTTTAAATGTAATATCATATGATTTAACGGTTAAATTAATTAAATTTATATTGTAAAATTTTTTTATTAAAAATATAAAATTGAGCATAAATTGTTAAATTTACACATAATGTTAATGAATATATATATATATATATTAATTAATTAAAATAAATAAGGTAGTCTAACAATTTATTTTATATAAGTCTGATTGTTTTAAATAAATAAATTATTTAAAATTTAAATTTAACCTTTTTTATCAAATAACTCAAATCAAAATTTAGAAAAGCAAGTTTATATATTCCTATATTAGGATTCACTTATTGGCATCTCCACATGTAACCATACACTTTAAAATATCAAATACTTCTCACCTTCGATTTAATAACACCGTTAACGTTTTCTTATTATAAAATATATAAATAAATCATATATGTGTAGGTACAATTTATTAAAAAAAATGATAGTAATAAATATTGTGAAATAAAGTGATCCCACTGGGTTTGGATTACTTTTGTTTTTTTCTTCACTTTCTTCCTTTCTTTCTCCATTGCTCGCTGCTGAAGCACTGCTGCTCGTTCAATGACCAAGCGCGCTCTGCCTAGTTTCTTAAAGTTGGTGTCCTTTCAAATTGACAAATGAAAATAAAAAGCCATTTTTAGTTAGATTATTCTTTCCACGTCATATTAATAAGTCAATAAATAATTACTTTCCGTTAATAATCCAAATACACAAGAAATATGTATTTTTAACATGAAAATCTCTCATTGTAAGAGTAAAAAT